AATAATACTATATCACACTAGCAGAGTACTGTACAGACTGCAGAATAATACTATATCACACTGACAGAGTACTGTACAGACTGTAGAATAATACTGTATCACACTGACAGAGTACTGTACACACTGTAGAATAACACACACACACTCACACACACTCTATACACACACACTCACTCACACACACACACACCTTTGGCCCGGTGATCCTCCTCCTTGGGACACTGCCCTCCCTCCCACCAGCGCCTCTTCAGGATTTCCAGCCTGTTGTTCTCCTGCAGCTGCAGGATGGCCAGAGTGATCTCATCCCGGAACGGAGAGCCTGAGAGAGGCACAGTCAGACACAGGCTCTCTGGGAAGAGCTGGGAGCACTGAGGTACCTCTGTCCTGTCTCTCCCCTGTTTCTGGTCTCTCTCTCCCCTGTCTCTCCCTCTCACCCCTGTCTCTCCTGTCTCTCTCCCCTGTCTCTCCTGTCTCTCCCTCTCTCCCCTGTCTCTCCCCTGTCTCTCCCTCTCTCCCCTGTCTCTCTCCCTGTCTCCCTCTCTCCCGTCTCTCCCTCTCTCCCCTGTCTCTTCCTCTCTCCCCTGTCTCTCCCTCGTCTCCCCCGTGTCTCTCCCTCTGTCTCTCCCTCTCTCTCCCCTGTCTCTCCCTCTCTCCCTTGTTTCTCCCTCTCTCTCCCTGTCTCTCCCCCCTGTCTCCCCCGTGTCTCTCCCGTCTCTCCCCCGTGTCTCCTCTCACCCAGCGGCATGCCGATGCCGTAGCCCTTGGTGTCCAGCAGGCCCCCGATCTGCGTGAGGTTGCAGTTGAGGCGCCGGTGGTACTCGTTCATGGTGCTCTCCAGCAGGAAGGCGTACTTGGAGTTGAGCACGCGGGCGATGCCCTCCTCCGTGCTCTTCACAAACACGCTGGGCTGCTTGGACAGCATGTAGTTCCACATGCGCTGGTACGTCTGGTAGCGCGAGTTCTGGAGAGGAGAGGGGAGAGAGTGGGGGGGAGAGGGGAGGGGAGAGAGGAGGGAGAGAGGGGAGAGATGGGGGAGAGAGGAGGGAGAGAGGGGAGGGGAGAGAGCAAGGGGGAGAGGAGGGAGAGAGGAGAGGGATGGGGGAGAGAGGAGAGTAGGGGCAGAGAGGAACAGAGAGAGGAGAGTGTCAGCACACCCATTACAAAGCCTGACGTACCCCCACACTGCACTAAGCCCAGGAGAGGGAGGACTGAGGAAGATTAACAGGGACAGAGGAAGTTCAGACCAGACACCCCTCCACTGGACCGTACCATGAAGAAGGTCATGGTGCTCCCCCCATGGATGGTGCCGTACTCGATGTTGGTTTGGTCCGCTAGGTCGTCGGCCGACTCGATGGGCACCTCCATGCGCTGCACCGTGAGGAAGGCGGCCAGGTTCGCCGTGTAAGAGGAGATGATGATGAGTGTGAAGGCCCACCTGAGAGAGGGGTTACAGCACAGAGAGAGAGAGATGGGTTAGAGGACAGAGAGAGAGGGGTTACAGCACAGAGAGAGAGGGGGGTTACAGCACAGAGAGAGGGG